TGGGAAAGCACGTGCTATATTTGATTTTATTGGCTAGCCATAGTGGAACAAAACCTATGGACCAGGGGTAGACACTCGGCGCCATCGGTTTTTAAAGAACGGCGAGTCTTCATTTGCTAAAGCGCAGGATGGGGTGGCCTTCAAGACAGCTCCCATTAAACCTATGGTCAAAGAAAGAACGAGAAATGTCAAACATCCACAATGTTAATAATGGGCCGTCAATAGCAATAGACAACGAAGCCCAATACTGGGCCCATGGTTCTGATTAGCTCATGTCAGTATACATCAGGAAAGGGGAGCAGGTTCTCTGCTGCTGCCTGCTCCTGCTCCCCTTAAGGAAAGTGCATGGCACAATAAAGAGAATCTCAGTGAGACTTTGAAAGCTTGGCATAAAGACACGTTTGGCAGCGATTGATAGAGCCTAATAAATGAAAATTCTTATTCAAGAAGCAGCGACTTGGCAGTTGGTACCAGTGGCTCCAGAAAATTAAATTAGTGGCTGATATTGGGTGATCAGAACTCAAATTTTTTCACGCTTAATCATGAAAAGAAGGGAATTCATTTGTTACATACCAGATTGACTAAAACAATGGCCCCATAGGCTTAGCCCTTTTAAAATTTATTTTTAAAAAAATTCCAGTAGCGGCAAAATCGGCTTCAAATTTTGGGGAAGGAGCAAATTGGGTTGTGAACTCCCCCCCGCAAAGCCTTCCAAACTCACGAAAATTAGTATAATATAATTATACAAAGATCATGTAGATTCAGGCCCTAATTCAAATTTTTAAAGGATTATGCCACTCAATCATTAATTGAAGGGCCGTGAATGTTGGACTCATAACATAGCTTGAGGTTAAAAAGGACCAAATTTTTAAAAGAAAAGTTAGTAGAGGGAATACTGGTCATTGCATTCTCAACAAAACTCATAAATCTCCCTAGATGGAGGCATGGCAAGAGACGGATGCTATATATATGACTACTCGTCTTATATCTCTTTAGGGGGAAAAAAAATAAGAGATGGATTCAACCTTGAAAAATCAATGATTTGTAGTGTATTCAGGCTTCAAAGCACAACTTTATTACGCCATTAAAAAATAGGTTTGGGTAGCCCTCTGAGCTCATAATAATTTTTTAAAAAAAAATTAAAAATTAAAAGAAGAAATATGAATGTTTTGTAACTGTAATTCATTTCCCAAGTCAGTTTATGATGTAAAATAAGATTTATCAACATGAACTTCATCTCCCTTTTTTTTGGTTTCCTTGGTAAATTTGTTATTTAAATATTTTGGTTAACAATATATCAAAAATTTTGGTTGTTGATTAGTATTATATGCTTATTATATTTTCCAAAAATAAAATATAAAAATTTTAGTACGGAAAAGGGTGGGTGGGGGAGAGGCGCACACTATGGTAATACTTGCTTATTTATATATTATTGTTTTTTATTACTTGAAGACAAGATAGAACCCTACTTGCCAACTTAGGGAACCTATAGCTATTATAAGCAACGGCAATAAAAAGTGTCCCTTTAAGGCCAAACAAATTACATTATTCATCAACTTATTGTTGATGAAACGACCCTCATCAGGCTTGATTACTGAAACTGAACTTCGTGAGGGAAATCACTCAAAGCTGCTATAAGCAAGTAGAATCAAGTCCTTCTAACCACATCATAGGAATTGAATTTTGTAGGGCATCTCACTCAGGACAAGATGCTCGTATCCAGAGCTATCAATGTACACTACTACAGAATATATCTTTAGGAGCAGGTCTTTAGGAGCGCTTTTTAAATAAGCGCTCTAAAATGTGAATGTAGAATTTACCGGAGTGCTTTTCTAAATAAGCACTCCTGTATGTCAAGCTTATCAATAAGATAACGCTCCTAATTAATATATATAAAATGTTATAAAAAATTTAAACATACCTTTGGGAGCGCTCGTACTTAAGCGCTCCGGAAGATCGCTTATGGACCCTGACAGAGAGCTCTTCCGGAGCGCTCTTTCATGAGCACTCTGGAAGAGTGTTCTAGCCTCATTTATTTTTCCATCCGTTTCTTTTCTCCATTCAGTTTCTTTCAAACCTCTCCCTCTTTCTTTCAAACCATTCTTTTCTCCGTTGCCGTCTCTTGCGCTGCTCGTCGTCTGTTGCAATTCCCGCACTGCATCGCCGTTCCCACACTACGTCGCCATCCGTAACCATTCTTGCGTTGCGTCACGTCACCGTCTCCCGCACTGGGTCGCCGTCTCCCGCGCTGCATCACCGTCCGTCGCTGTTCTTGCGCTGCGCTGCGTCGCCGTCTGTTCCGCCGATCTGTCGCCACCGCCATCCTTCTAGCTCTGCTGTTTGCTGTCTGCTGTTCCAGATCTGAATCACTATTCCAAATCTGCATCTCTGTTCCAGATTTGCATTGCTGTTGCAAATCTGTGTCGCTGCTGTATAGCGGAGGAAGCGACGCCGCTGCTGTCGTGAATACCGCCATTTTCTGCCGTGAAGACCTTTGAAGGTATTTTTTTTAATAATTAATTTATATATATTTGAGAATAAATTTCAAATATTTTTTTAATAATCAATATTATAGATAATATATAAATTGAAGTTATTTATATTAAAATTATGGAGTAGTTGATAATTTATATTGTAGTTGATAATTTAGATTAAAGTTGAGGAAACTACTTGAATATTTTTATTTTATTTATGAAATATACTTTTAAGAGAGATTATTGTTATTAATTAAATTACAATTGATTGACAGAATTTAGATGCATTATGCTATTAAATGTTTATTTGGATGAATTGATTTTTTTAGTTTAAGGGTCTGTTTGGATTTCAGTTGGGTATAATAGATTATGAAAATAATTGATTAAGTAGTAGATTTTAATCATAATTGATTATGTTATAACGCAATCTGTTTGGATACTGTTTTTCTAAAATTGATTTTAACAGAATTGAAGTTGTTTGGATAATTTAATTAAAATTAATTTTTAACTATATAAATTACTATATAATTTAATTTTTAAATATCAAATATTAATTTTTTGAATATACAAAGTTTAAATTTTATTAAGAAAAAAAAAAGAGAAAAGAAGAGAGTTTAATTTTATTTTTATTAAATTATGTGCTTTTTTGTAATTTTTTCTTGGGCCTTTCTTTGTAATTTTCTCTAACATTTTTGACAAATTTTTTGCAAAAAGCTGATGGGAAGAGCTTATAAAAAAATGCGTGTTTTATGTTTTTAATCGATTTCTGCGTTTTTCTGCTGTTTGGATATTTTGTTTAAAAAATCAATTCTGGGGCTGAAAACGCGTGTTTCTCCTCAATCCAAACACACGCTAAATGTATTGTGTTGTGGAATTTGATTGTTTGATCATTTTGGAGGTTGTTCTTTTAAGGAAGATGCTGTTGAATTTTTTTTTATAGAAATCTAAGTCTTTTATTTATTGAATTTTGGTAATCATATTAGTGATACGGATCGTAAGTGGATGTCGACTAATCAACTATCTAGAGAATATTGGGATGGTGTGGATGAATTCATTGAATTTGCATTTTGTCGTGATCAAGACCCCATGGAGTCATATGTCCTTGTTTGAAATGTTGATATTTTAGTTAATGAAATATTTTATTTTTTCAGGTAACATTGAGTGCTTGTTTGTATCAATCCATTCGTCCCTGTGATTTATTATCTTGATTCATTAAGAAATAGTGACTTTAAGAACTACAAATCTATGAGGATATTATTTAATCAGTAAGTTTTTAGTTCTATATTCTTTATATATGTTTATTATAATAATTAATTTTTACTTGGTATGCTTAATCATTATATAATAGGGCTGTAGCACGTTATTGAGGAAGTGAAGGTCTCCCTCCAAACACTGAAAGACCTGATCTTGTTGAGTTTTATTCATGAAAAAGAATAAAGGTTTGTATTATTTTTTAATAAAACAAGTTGGTACATATCTAAATGATTGTTTGATTGATATTTTATGTTTTTTATTCTGAATATGTTGTTCTGGATTGATGTAGAATTTTTGAAAAATTCTGGAACTTCCAAGTTATAGGGAAGACTCTTCCGGATTTTCGACAGCAAATACTTGTATCATTTATATAACTTCATCACTGAAGTATTTTAAATTAAGTTAGAATTTATTTCTACCATATTTTGATAATAACATCTTTTATTGTTTTATAGGTACCTACACAATTATAAGGTTAGGAGTGTGGATACTATGTTATGAAGTTTATGAGAGAAGTAATCACACAACAAAAGTTGATCATTCCTGAAAATGTAAGTCAAAAGTTTTGAAATTAAGTTAATATAATGTTAATTACTTATATATTGCTTCATATCTTGTGTAGTATTTTGTTGGAGCAAGATATTCGCATTTTACTATGGAGCAAATAGAAGATTTAGTTGAAGAATGATCAAAATATATTATTGGCTGTTTGTGATAAGAAGTTAAATTTCAATGTTAAAAAAATAACAATAGTTTCATTTGTTAGGCTTATTAGAAATTAAACTATGTTAGTTAGAAAATTGAAATTGTTGTATCAGTTTCAAATTCTTTTCTTGTATATAAATTTTTATGTTGATATTATTTTTAAATTAGTTTTTGATATTATGATTTGTCATTGTTAAAGATATGTAAAAGGAGAAATTTAAAAAATTTGATTTAAAAAAAATTAAATATAATATATGGGAGCGCTCATTTGAAGAGCGCTCCGGTAAGTTGTCAGCATACGGGAGCGCTCTTACCGTACGCCGCATACAGGAGCGCTCTCTTAAGTAGCGCTACGGTAAGATGTCAGCATACGGGAGCGCTCCTGTAGAGAGCGCTCCTGTATGCATCATACGGGAGTGCTCCTATAGAGAGTGCTCCGATATATAACGTGTGCCTGGAGCTCTCTTACGGGAGCGTTTTTAAAAAAACGTTCTTGTATATCGTATATACAGGAGCGCTTTTTTTAAGCGCTCCTGTATATTTCGGAGCGCTCGATACGGGAGCGCTTCAAAAGTGCTTTCTAAGATAAAAAAAAAAGCGCTCCTGTAAGCTTATTTTGTAGCAGTGGTACGTCCCAATATCTTTGCACGGAACATTATTACACTTCCTGCACACATTTGGACAGTACACCAACTTATAACCATCTTCATACTTCTCAATCTTGAACCAATTCCTCACTGTTTGTGGTCCAGGATTCCCCACAACCCCGCCCGTCGTCACGAACCACTGTCCAGTGCTATTATCGTAGTCGTCGACCTTCCACACGGTGAATTGAGGACATCCTGTGTCCCTGTCAGTATTGAACACGATGTTGAGATCAGTAGAGACACGAATCACGCCGTCCTTGGAGTTGACGGGAACGAAGGATGATGGTAGGCTTGGATCTTCTTGCACTGTAATAACGTCGAGTGGGCACTTTCTTCTAGTGCTTGCAAGCTCAAGGCCGCCGCTTGGGGGCTGGGGAACTGGAATTATGTAGTAACTGTGATCTGCTCGGAGAACTTTGCTGCCGGAGAGAACTGGCTCCGGTTTTGCATCGGCTGATCCTCCGAGCAGTGGCTTTGTGCTGAAGGCAAAGAGAAGGACGAATGCCGCTGCCAATGTGATCTTCATTCTTTGATATACTTGAAATGTGCTTCCAAAATATCTAGCTTTCTTCTTTGTTTGGTTACTGATATGGAAAATGATCCGAGAATGTAAGCATGAATTTATAGTCACAGTAGTGTGGGCGGAATCGGTGGACCAAACTTGGACTGATGGTCAAGGATTCCGAGCTTGAGGATAAACTCTTTATTCTCCATATAAGATTGCTTCCAGAATCAAGTCTTTTTAAAAAGCATTTGTCTTTGTCATGTGGTCTAATTACTTGGCCGCTATCTCTTTTTTTTTTTAATTCGCGAGATGCCCACTGTCTTTGCCTAACATATATATTCATACATATTATTATATTTGAAGATTGCAATTTGCAAAATCTATTATTTGTTGCTGCCGACCTCTGCTTCACGACTTTCTTTTGTAAGATGAACTGGACCAGGACAATGAAATGAGGTATATATCCATAGTCCTGAATGGTTATAAATTTGAAGAATACAGGAGCAAGCTTGCCATAGCCAACCGCCTATGATCTCTTTTCTTTGCTTGCAATTCGGTATCTTGAGTCTTGACTCAGACTAATTCAGTTAGTAGCTTGCGGGTACCTCATATTTGGGACATACGTCAACCGTGTATGATCCATTGATCCTTGGTTACGTTGCCTCCCCCACCCCCCCCCCAAAAAAAAAAAAAAAAGATACCAACATATAATAATAGAACTTGTCCCAAAATATTCCTGAACATAAGACGATGCTTCCAAGTCTTGACCTGCAGGCTTTAGGCAACTTCATTCCATCCATGCATCTGCAATAATTCCAGCAAGAATTTATTCCATAGTTGTACCATGACTATCACATGTTGCATGTATACTATATATGTCGTATTATTTGTGTCTCAAGTATTAATATAAAGGGAGAATTTCATTATAGGACTAGAGATATGATTTTATTTAAATAAGTCCCAAAAAATTATGAAATTACACCTAGAACTAAGGGATTAAATTGAAATATGTTTTGTAGGAATATGGCAAAAATGTCCTTCAATTAGTTTTTTTTTTAATATGAGTAATTTAACAAGTAATAACACTAAAATAATGAGTCAAGTTGCAATTTTAACAAGTCAATAAAATAATATCAACTATGCAATAAATGTACCGTAATAAGTTATTTTATTGAATAATAACTAACATTAAAATAAATAAGAAGTGAAGTTATGGTTTTAACAAATCCACTTCATGTTATAAAATTATATTGAATGTGAAAAATGTTTAGTTAAGAAGTTCCTCTATTAAATTATAAGTAACATTACCAAAATAACAAGTTAAGTTACAGTACAGTTTTAACCAATGGGTATATATCTTAAACAAGTCAATAAGATTGAATAATATGCAAAATGTGTTGTTAACAAATTCTTTAAGGTAGTGTTTGAATTAATGGATTTGGATTTTAGATTTGAAATCTTTTGTTTGAGTAGTTTAAAAAAAATTCAAATGAGGAGAGATGATTTGAGATTTGAAATGAAAAATAAAAAATTAAAAACAATGAGTTTATTTTTATTTTTTAATAGAAAATATATAAAAAAATACGAGAGTCATAAAAGTATCAATAATAAAAGTATGAAGAGAATACAATGTTTCAAATGATTAAAATTTAAAATAACTAGGGTGTAAATGAAGTTTTAAATTACAAAGTGATTATAATTTGAAATGATTCAAATTCAAATTCATAAATTTTTGTGTATTCTAATTAAAGATTGATTTAAATCTAAATCTCCATTAATCTAGACACAGCATTAGATAGCATTTGGATTGGTGGATTTGAATTTGAGTTCTATGTGGATTTAAAATCTCACATTTCAAATATTACATTTAAAATGAAAAATTAGAAACAGTGAGTTTATTATGAAAGACGAGAATGAGATATGAGAAGAGATATATATAGTAAAAATATAAAGAGAATAAGATGTTTAAAGTAATAAAATTTTTAAATAACTAGAGTGTAAAATAAATTAAAATTACAAAGAAATTATATAATGAAGAAATGGATTTGAGTTTGAGTCCATAAATTCTTATGTATTCAAATAAGAAATTCAGTTTAAATATAAATCCCTATCAATTCAAAACACACCATTATTGAATTTACAAGTAACATTATTAAAATAACAAGTTAAATTACTAAAAATAATTTAAGGACATTTTTGTTGTTTACCTACAATTTTTTTTAATTTAATCCCCTTGATCATGCAGTATAATTTCATAATTTTTAGGATTAATTTGAAATATAATTATACATCTTGTCCTATGTATAATAAAATTCTCCGTAATATGAAAGCCGCTGAATCATGCATAACGGAGCCCGTGCTTTTATATTCTCTGTACAATTCAAATTATAGCAGTTTTGCTTTTATATTCTCTGTATAATTTCATGTATTCACATTTAAATCTATTCTGATCTCTTTCATCATCTATATCCACTTCAGTTTTTTGTTTTCATTAAATAATTGTTTTCCACCCTTTATTAATCTCTGTAAGTTGTTTATTGTTTTCAATATTTTAGTTTACAAATTTTTTACATTTAAAAATCATTATATGAAATAATTTAAAAATAAAAAATAAATTCAGTGTTATTTTCAAAAAAATAAAATAATATTAGACCAACCCTACCTAATGGGCTAAATATTTAACTTCTGGAGGAGGGACCTCTAAAGAAAAATGCAGCAAAACATTAGTATATGTTTTTTGTTTTTGTTTCATAGACATTCTCCTCTTAAAGACAATTTTGTTCAAATCATGGTCAGAAAAATATATGTTAATTATATAGTTTAAACTTTAAGGGTAGAATTGTCTTTTTATGATTTTATCCATATATATATATATATTTTAAGTTTTTCATCATATTTCAAAACTTCAATTTTTATAAGATTATTTTTAAAATTTGAGATTCGGAAATTCGTGAAAGAAAAAAAAAATCGTAAAGGAAAATTTAAAACAAGTTGAGAAGCAAATCGTTAGGCAGGAACCAGCATTGAGATTCACTGTCACAACTCACAAGATATTACAGCGATAAAGATGGCACGTTTCAATTAGACGACTGAGATTTCAAGTGACACAAAGACGACGCGGTTTAAGCTGCGCACACAGCTAAAGTGATGTTGGTCTATGCACCAAATCCTAGAAACCCTCAGCTACTCCCTCGCTACTTATCTGAGTCACTGTCATTATGCGTATGTGTAAGTACTCCCCAGTTAATACTCCTCCAATCTCATTTGTAAATATTTTTTTATCAGTCAATACTAATATAATAAAGTATAAAAAATAAAAATAAATAAAATTTCAAACATAACTTTTAAGTAAAAAACAAACTGTATAATATTATCTTTTCTATCTCTCTTACTTTTCAAAAATTTTAAAAATTTTAATTTTAAATAAAATAATCATATAAACTAGTAACTTATAAAATAAATTAAATTATACTTCTTAAAAATGGTTAGGTGGTGGTTCTGATGATTTTAATGTTGTTACAATGTACAAGCATCTAAGTGGTTTTGATCAACAAGAGGGAAATAGTTTTTGGATGAAAATGTGGTCTTGGAAGGGTCTGAGATGTATCCAAACATTCTTATAATTAGCTGCTTCAGATATTACCAACGTCTATTCAAAGGTTTAACAATGTTGACGGGTCATCTATTTGTTGTAGGTGTCAATTGGCTAAGAAGTTCTGTTTGCATGCATTGAGGGATTGTTCTTGTGCGCATAGTGTATAGGAGCAGTTGATATGAGGTTTGCATTCTTTTGATTTTTTTTGGTTTAAATTTGCTTGAATGGTTTTAGAAGAATTTAGGTGATAGTTCAAGGAGGGATGCGTGCAATTGGCATTTGATATTTGGGATAGCTATGTGGTTCATGTGGTCTTGGAGGAATAAAATGATATTTGATCTTAATTTTGATTCCTCCAAGATTTTTGCTGTTAGTATTTTGCAATATGTGATGAGATTAAGAAGGCTTATGATGTAGATGACAATATTTGTCTCAAACGTTAGGATGATATTTAGTGGTGGCTTCCTAAAAGAGGTTGGTTAAAGCTCAATATTGATGGTGCTACTAAGGGGTGGTTTGGGGATGTTGATTGTAAAGAAGTCATATGAGATTATACTGGTAACTAGAAATGGGGTTTTGTTAATAGAGTGCGTAGGTGTACAACTTTAGAGGCGGAGTTATAAGGATTATGGTTTGGATTCCTCTTATTACAAAGATTGGATCTAAGGAAGGTTATCATTGAATCTGACTAGAGCTGGGAATACGGGTGGGTCCGACCCTTAAGGGCCTGACCCTTATGGGCTCGGCCCTTTAGGGCCTAAGCCTTAAAGCCCGATTTTTCATTTTGACCCCCATTTTTCAAGCCCGGCCCTTATACTCAGAGCTCAGGGCCAGACTTGTAAGCCCTTTTTAAAAAATAAAAAAATTAAAATAAAATTAAAATTATAAATAAATTAAAATATTTTAAAATTAAAATCATCATAATTTTTTAGAAATTAAATAACATATATTAGAAGTCTAGTAATAAAATTTAAATCTTCATTTAAAAAATAGTTCATTTTTTTTATAAATATACAAACATAATAATTATAGAAAAATAAAAAATATCATAAATTTTATACTATACACTGATATTTATTAAATTATATTAAATTAATTTTAGAATAAATTAAAATTAATAATAATATAATGTATGTAGGATCAGGTGAGCAGGTCATTGATTTCAAACACGTGTTTTACTAAAAAATAATAATAAAAATAATATAACAGGGCTTGAAGGGCAGCCCGGGCCCGAGCCCTATTTTATAGGGCTTATCAGGTCTAAGCCCTCAAGCCCGATTACTTTAAAAAAAAATATTTTTAAAGCCCGAACCTTATTTAAACAGGGCTTTCAAGCCCGGCCCTCCAGGCCCGACCTTTATTCTCGGCTCTAAATCTGACTCTACTGCACTTGTACATATGCTGAAACAGGTGTTGTCATGTTCCTGTGTGAAAAATCGATTCCTTCGTCAAATTCAGACAATGATTGATGCTAGCTGGAATACCAGCATGACACATACTTATCAAGAAGGGAATT